TGTTGCTTATGATTCTGACAGATTCTTACTTCACTCTGATTTTTTCACTCCAACCTTTATTTGTCATGGCCTTGTTTTGGAATGTTTTTTCTGAATTTTGCTTTATTTAGGACATCAAGTGATAATGGTGTCATCTAAATGCTACAGACATGAAGCCATTCTGCAACAGAATTTCTTGTCAACCATTTCCGTAAGAACACATTAGTCAGTGTGCAATAATTTAGCCTTCCCAGATAGCTCCAGTGCTTGCTTGTGAATAAAATCAGCCTTTTTTTTTTTTTTCTAAGCAGGTTCCATCGACTGCCACTGCTTGTAATAGGTTTTGACATCTTCCATTTAGAAAAAGAAGTACAAAGAATTACCCTGTGATCCTCTGATAAACATGTGAGCCCTGCTTTATGGATCGGCAAGGATGAGAAATGTGAATTTGGCACCTCTTCAGTCTTTGAAATAATGCCAATGTGTTAGGTTGGGTACACAGGGTAAGAAGAGGGATGGTAGGGCCTGAATAGTGGTTAAAAAAGACAAATTAGCTTTGCTTCAATAGGAATCTCGGCTCCACAGTGATTGTGCACCCTGTTAACCAAAGCACGGCAATGTCATGGGTCCTGTGGGAAGTTATTTATCTTTCTGTGACTTGTTTGTGGAAATGAGACACTAATCAGCTTGGTGTCACTAACCAGCTTTGGTCAGCTGCCACCCTTGGTTTTTGCCAATGAATTGCTCTGCTTATGTTCCAGTTATCACATGGCTTCCTTTCAGCCTGGAGGTTTCTGACTAGACTTGAGACCTTTTCCTCATGCTTACAGTCTGCATCAGTATGTACAGTGCCCTTGTGCAGCAACAGATTATGCTGGTCATTTGCAATAACCTGTTTTCAAGAAGATGGATAAAGAAAGTTCTGGTGTGATAGCAGTGTGCTTTTACTTTAAGCTTCTTCCTAGTTGACTGCTTTTTAATATGTGGTAACTTGCTAGTAAAGGTTATAAGTCTTTTGCAAGACTTGAAATAAAGCTCACATAAAATATGTCTGAAAATACTTTCAATGGGGATGCATAAATCATTCAAAAATTCCTTTACAGAGCGCTTAATTCTTATATGTAGGTGTTTTGGCAAAGTCCAGAGATAAGATAAAATTAGTCATGTAATGAATTAGATACTACAGCTAAATAGGAGTGACAGAAACATGTGTCCAAATATATTTTAGGTTATCTTGAATTCAAGAACTTCTGTGAGCAGACATGAGGGTAAAGGGTGCTGTTACAGTAGACATAACAGGGTAATTTTGCATAACCTCTGTAGCACATGCATCTTCAGCATTTTTCACGTTGCCTCAAAACTGTAGAAGGAAGTCATGGAGGAGGGAGCCTGGGGAAGAGTTGAGGTAGAAGCTCTGAATTGTTTGGGAGGAAAGAAAGTAACCTGAGAGTAGAAATACACGGATGTCAGTGAACTGCCTCTTCCGGTGATTCGTTTACTTCTGCCTTGCTGAGAAGACAGCAACTTCTTCAATGGAGTTGCATTTTGATGAGGAAGCATTTTTTTTTGTGTTCTGACAAGCTTGACATCTGTTTTCCCTCTCTGTAAAGTTTAATGTGTAAATTTGGAGATACTAAAGGTGTCCTATAAGTGCTAAATATGTCAATATTTGTTCCTGTTCCATAAAGGATACTTGTGAGATAGTTGTAGGATACACAGCAACGGTTATAATTTGAAATGTGGATCCTGAAGGGGGTCTTAGCAGCAGGGGCATCCTTGTGAAGTCCTGTTTGGGTGGTTTGGTTTTTGGTTTGTTTTTTTTTTTTTTCCTGTTTGTGCAATCAGCACAGTGCTGATAGCAGTGCCTAACACCAAAATACTTTTTTCAGCAGTACAGGTGCATAGATAAGTGGACTCTTGCTTCAGATAAGGAAAGATAAGAGTGTGGTATGTGAAAAATGAGAGTGGAGAAGTGCTTTGTGACATGATTAGCTGTTCATAACGCTTGGGTAGGTGAAGGAGGTGGTATACACTTTCTCTGTAGCCTGTAAGCGAAGGAATTTCTCAGAGAAGCTCGTTTTAGTGAAGTCCATGGTGGATACCTCAGCTTTCTTTGCAATTTTGTAAGGCTCAATTAATCTATGAAAATGCTTGTCAATGAAAAGAAACAGGTTCATGTTACTGCATAGGCTGTTAACTTTTGCTAAGCATGTCTCTCATACCTCTTCTAATTTGTGCGGTGATTGAGAGGGCTGGAGAGGCTGCAGCTGTCCAGTACCAAGGGGATCTTGGTGCCAACTGCTGGCAGCCAGGCGACTTAGCTAAATATAGAAAAAGGTGGGCTTTTTTGTGGTTTCTCTGGCATTTCAGTTATTTGGAAAAGCTTTGGGAAGGAACTTTGTGATATGTGTATGTGTCTTGAAAGCAGCTCCTGTAACTGTGTATGTGTGGGTTGGTCTGTTGCAAAAAAATAAGAGAAGATGAAAAAACCCCCAAACAACCCTCTTTTGCAGCTGCTGATTTTTTGTGTTTTGGAGAACACCTGTATTAGAAGGCTAAGCAATTGCACATGAAAAGACATGGATTTTCCATCTAATTCTATGTGCAAACGCTGCTCCTTTGATTTGCTAAGCGCCCATTTCAGACTTGAGTTGAGACTAAGTTTGGGGATTTTTTTACATGCTGAAGCTGTATCTTATTCAATCTCTGCGCTTTTTAAAAGAAAGTCAAATAAATTTGGGGGTTTCTTATGTTGTGTTTGTAGTGCATCCCCCTCTCATGTATGAAATTGATCTCGGTGTGTGTTATTCAATTTCCACTTGCAAATTCCTTCAGTGTTTATAGTGACATTTCCTTTCTTGTCCCTACTGCAGCGAAATTAAAGAATACATTTTTGCATGGTCTTCGATGTAAAGTTTAAGTTTGCCTTTTGCTCTAAGGTTCTGTGTAGAATGGAGATTAAGGTGCTTTGCAGCCTCATTGACTAGGAAATGTAGCCAAACATAATAAATGCTGTTTGCTGAAGTTAAAGAACAGCAACAACCTTGAGATCAAACTCGGTGATCACTGCTTTCTTTTTAAGTGCATGTAACAGAATGGGGAACACCCAGTGCCACAGGGAAAGAAAAGGTGCATTAGGTGAGTTTCCCTGTCCAAGACCAAGTTGAGGATTTACACCTGTTTTTCACTATGATGTAAAAAATGATTTAATGTGCGGACTGATTTCTATTACAGAAAAATTGCTATTGTCTCCACTATGTGGGAGCAACTTTTATTTAATCAAAGGATTTGTCTTCAACCTGTCGGTTCAAGGTTTTTCTTTAAATACTTTGATTTGTGACCTGAACTACGGAGAAAAAAATGCACCATTTTAAGACATGGTATAAAGCCTACTGGAATTACATTTTAGGGATGTTTCCATTGTCTTCAGTAACCTTTGAATTGGAAATTTTTAATCTCTTAATTGTACTGAGCTGATTTTTATTCTCACGGATAAGAAAGTTTCAGTATTTTTTGTTGTTTGATTTAGTAAAACCTCTTTCTTAATTATCAGTTTTCAATAGGCATCTGTTTAAATGATGCCAAGTGATCCCTTAGCAATGAGCAGTACTGTTCTTGTTCTTTCAGTTGAGCTGCTTTGGATGGTTTCTTTCAGTATACTTGGATTTTGTCATGTGTGAAGAACTGTGCATCTTTCACAGTGACTGTTGCAGTGAATGCTAGGCAAACAGTATCTTCTTTATAAGCAAGAAAAATAATGAAATATCTTACACCAGAAATATTAGTCTTTTAGCAAAATCAGATTTTTGATATGCATTTAATGTGTTCTGTCTTCAAATATAAAAAGTGTATGTGACCGGGAAAAATACAGCTCTTATGCATGTAGGGTAAGCTTCTCTGGATTTTGGATATGATAGCATTTTGTGTACTGTTGTGTGGTACAGGTCCCCTTTCTTCTGCCATCCTCTGCACACCTATCTGGAGGGTATTTTGTAGGCTGTCTATTGCCTATTTGTCCTCAGTGTCTCTTATTTTAAACAGTTTCCTGAGTCTCAAACTGTCGCTTCTGAACTGTAAAAAGAAGTTACTGGAGTTGAAGGAGTGGCATTTTTTCCTAATAGGTCATGTAATAGGGCTTTAGATTTTGTGGTAAGTATTAGGTTTGGCCTGGAAAAGAAGACTGTTTACTTTCTAGCAGTATTAATTCATGTCTGAGCAACAGAGGTATAGGTTAGAACAGTTCTGGGAATACATTTTTTTCAAAATTTTTGTTGCTATTAAAGGTACTTGGTGGAATTTTTTCTTAATCATCTTTTGATTTTCATTCTGCTCTATAGGACAGAGAGGTGGAGTTTGATGCACAGAAGAAAGCACTAATTGCCCAAACAGAGCTTTGACTCAATTAGCTTATGCATGAATGGGGAAGGTTGATAACTTGGCAGCTTTTGCAAGTTAGCTATGTTTTGCTGACTGGAGGCAGCCTAAGACTAGTCGGAAATGTAAATGAAATGGCATTTTGCTGAGCAGGAGAGGCCAGTGCCAGGCTGGGCTGGGCAGCTGGGGCAAGGGGTGAGGGAGGAGACTGCTGGTATGGCAAGGGGACAGTCATCATCCCACCTTTGTATTGGTGGTCACAGGACCAGCATTTCCAAAGATTCTGGGTTTGCCTGGAAGTTTGTCCCACAGGTCCATCCTGTGGAACCCAGAATGCTTAATTTTCCCCATTCTCCCCACTCCACCCAAGTGACCTGCGTTGTCCTGGAAGCCCAACTCTTTCATTGATTGACACGTGGTCTATAATATAATTAGGATGTAATCCATCGATTACTTTGAAAATTGGAATCAAAGCTGTAAGCTGATGTTGGAAGCTGGCTTGCAGGGAGCTGTACCAGAGATTGTATAACAAGATCCTGGGAGAGGAGAGATGACGCAGAGCTCTGTGTTTAGGGCAGAGGCATGCTGTGCTATGTATGGGTTCAAGCTAATTATGCCTGAACAAAACTGAATGTGCGTGGCTGCTGGTACTGGCAAGGGGACAGTCATCATCCCACCTTTGTATTGGTGGTCACAGGACCAGCATTTCCAAAGATTCTGGGTTTGCCTGGAAGTTTGTCCCACAGGTCCATCCTGTGGAACCCAGAATGCTTAATTTTCCCCATTCTCCCCACTCCACCCAAGTGACCTGTGTTGTCCTGGAAGCCCAACTCTTTCATTGATTGACACGTGGTCTATAATATAATTAGGATGTAATCCATCGATTACTTTGAAAATTGGAATCAAAGCTGTAAGCTGATGTTGGAAGCTGGCTTGCAGGGAGCTGTACCAGAGATTGTATAACAAGATCCTGGGAGAGGAGAGATGACGCAGAGCTCTGTGTTTAGGGCAGAGGCATGCTGTGCTATGTATGGGTTCAAGCTAATTATGCCTGAACAAAACTGAATGTGCGTGTTTTTTTTTTTTTTTCTACAGTCTAATTGCCGGCCTTCATTTTCATCTCCTACCAGTAGCCAGCAATTTCTTATGTTTATCTGAGGAATCTAGAACATCATTCAGTCATACAGATAACTCCTTATCATGAAGCAGATTAGACCATCCAAAATTTTGCCTTTCACTTCCATGTCAAAGGGAAAAAAGGATTATTATGATGTGCCATCAGAAGCTACCCATTTGCTGAGTTAGAGTAACTCCTGAGGAGGGCTAACTTGTTGAGACTTGCTCTTGCATCCTTTAAATTGCCAGTTGCTGCAGTAAAACACAATTTTTATGCCCTGGAGTATATTTTTTTTTCATAAAATTATCTATAGCGACGCTACTTTGTGTTATGACCCTGTCTCTGCTTGCAAGCTGAGGAGCCCCGAGCTTAGTTATTGCGTGCAAAGTCCACCTCTGAATTTCCATGTAGGAGGTCAGCTCTGAGTCAGGACTCTGAGTAATTCAAGAAGACGGTGTAGCTGCTGCTGTCTCTGATGGAGGACAGCACATTACTGTTCCTCCTCTGCCTTCTACCTTTGCATTCAGGAGTTTTGTCGTCCTTCTAAAGGCACTTCTAAATAGTATAACTTCTTCACTTCTAAATAATATAGCTGACATCACTTTTACTACTGCTTGCAATAGTATATATTTGTATCCCAAGCTGATGCAACGGATGAAGTTAGAGATTCTTTAAGAGCCTTGCAGCTCTGATTTAAGAACCTACTGCTCCCGAATATTTTTGGCTTTCTTCTGCTAAGGTTTTCACTGTCCAGTCTGTGATTTTACAATATGAAGTGTTAAGCAGCAATACCATTTGTCCATCTCCCCCCAACAGGATCCCTTCCTTTCCCTTCATTCATATTTGTGTTCTGTACCCTGTGCTGGGACATGATTTCCAGGGCACGGCTGTTTTCAGGGCATCACAAGCCAACCCTTGCCAACCCTACCCAAATTCAATTCCCACATGGATATAACTTGTATCTTGGCTACTGTCTATAATTTATAACTTGGCTACTTTGCTGAAGCAGTCACAAAGCATTTGCTTTTGATGTGGCTGTATGTTCCAGAGAATATGGTGGCAATGTCAGGGATTAATTTCAGGGACGTCGCAGCCACACGTGAAGGGAGGCATAGTTGAGATGGGTTTGGTAAGTCCAAATGCTATGTAACCAGACAGTGGGATGATTATCTGCCTTGTGTTAAGATGTCTTTTAGCATACATGCAGGGAGCTTTAAAGCTGTAACTCAAGGCAACACACAGAGAATAATTTAATTGCAATATTGTGCCTTTGCCCTTTTAAGATACTCTATTCTGGGTATGATAAACATATGCTTAACTGGAGTAAGCTCACTGTTATATCAATCTGATTTAGATTCTGTTGCATGTGCTTGATTTAATTCCTGACTGGTGGAGCAGAAGACAGGTGATATAATGTTGCCTGTTGCTCCCTGTAGAGTTTCTGTAAGCTGATGTGTTGTACTCATTTTGCTCTGATGCTCTTGCAAACTGATGAACTTTTTGTAAAATGATGATAAGAATCACTGTGGCTTCTCTAGGTCTCTGACTTTGTCTTGGTCTGTGCTGTGTGTTGCACAGTGTGAAATATTTTGCGCTATTTTGCTATGAGCTCTTTATAAATGTGTTTGAATATATGTATTTTACAAGCAGTGTGGTTTGTTGCTTATCATGTGCAATGTCAGAGCGCTCTCCACCCTCTAAAACATTCTGCGGGATGGACTGACTTCCTTTGCTTGGGGAAGTCTCATGCTGACTTGTACTTTCTTTAAGTATTATGACCAGAATTACAGTGAGTTTTGGCTGTTCGTAGCACTCCACGCTGAAAGGTCAGCTCTTCATCCTTGGAAGCTTAGCTCTTTTTTGTCTTTCTCTGTCTCTCTCTCTCTCTTTTCCTTCTCGTCTCTATTTTCCTTAGTTAAAAAAAAAAAATCTCTCACACACTTTGTTTTCACATGGAACAAAGTACTTCTCAAATGTAAGAAAAATCTGATATTCAGCACTTTCTATATATGAGTTAATTGAAAACTTAATAAAGCATTCAGGGCTTCACAATAAGCTGTAACGGATTACAGATGTCTTTTTACTGTCTTCCAGGAATGGATAGTAGATGTCTGTTAATGTACATTGTATAGTACAAAATGCATAGAATGCACATAGATCGAAATTTTCAAAGTAATTAAACCTCCTATTTCTGTTATTTTGTGTATGTCTGGAGACATTTTGCACCCTGGCTCATATCTCCCCTATTTCCATTTGTTCCCTGTAGGAAGCTTTTTAAGCTGATGGCAATATTGATTTGATGGTCACTGTTGCCATCTGTTCATTCTCACTCCATGGTTTGTGCCTGTACAATTGTTTCTGTGGCACATGTTGAGTTGGAGAAGGGAGCAGGTATGTCTGAAGTTGTGGTTTGTGTTGTGGGTTTGGGTGTTTTGTTTTTGTTTTTTTTTAGTTTAGATTTTTTTGTTGTTGTTGCTCTCTTATGTTTCTTACTGCGCACCCTTGGTCAGCTGAACAGGTATAGGGCTGAAAACGATTTTCCATATTTGGTATCGGAGAGAAAGATGCATTGAATATCGCATGGAATCTACATGCTGGTCTCATATGTATGTTGATGTCTCTCAGAAAGTGAGAACATTTTACAGCAAGGTAAGGGGCTTTTCCTGAGGCAGGGAAAATGCTAGAATGCTTCTCCCTGTATTTTGATACAGGGTGTGCTGTATCTGAGGTGCCTTCATGCATGTGAAGGGACGGAGTTTCGGGGAGGATAGTCATGAGAAATGATTTGGAGTTGTTACACATGAAAGAACCTCTGAAGTGGATTACAGTGAAGCACAAAGGTTGTTTTTATAGTGTTTTTTTCAGCTGGCAATGACAAGTTACATTATGAGAGCTCCTAAGTGATGTGAGTTCCTAAATCCAGTTTCTCAAAAGTGACTTGGCATCTTAATTACATAGGCATTCTTGGTGATTGCACCTACTGTATAACGTAGCTAAGTCTCACCATGGTGTGTGCTGGTATCCAGAGGACCTCCTTATGAATGAGCAGAATGCAATGGGTTCTGGTAATTATGAACTGCTTAGAATCATTAAGTTAGTATTTACTTATGTATCTTAGGTAAACTTCCATTTCATCGTGCTGATGCTTTTTTTTTTTGTGATACTGCATATGATTCATCCATTAATGGGTAATCATACTAAAAGGTATTGAAGATGGAAAGAAATGCATCACTGTTTTCACTTGAAAGCTGAAATGCCTGGAGGGCTAACATCACAGAGCTATACTTTTTGTGGCATTAGTAGGTTTAAAACGCTGTCTGATTCCACACTCAGCAAGCAGCAGATTTGTGGCACACGCTTTCCCGAAGTGTGCAAACAGCTGGCAACGTGCCTCTTAAATGTGGCTGGGTTTGCATTTCACAAATAGCATTTTCAGTAAGATCCTGACATTTGTGTATTTTCTCAGTGTTGAAAGGATTATAATGCTAGGATTATATCAGTGTCGGCTTAGCTTTCTGTAAGAAACCCTTTTGCTTCCTGAAAGAGATCAGTCCCATTCAACACTGCAGCCAGCAGTCATTTTGTCAGAGGAGGTAGAAAAAAGTTCTTTTGGGAATACAATATTATTAAACTTGTCCGATCCTCAGGACTTCACAGAGAAGGCATTTACTGAAGCATGTACTAAGAACAGAAAGAAGAATAATGGTAAACCAAATTACTGAAAATGGCAAAGAGCTATTGCTAAAGGGTAAGTACTTCATGTTGATATTAATACCTCCAAAGGATTACAGTGTTCTGAAACTCTGTGTATCTTAACTGAAGAATAAAGTCATTGCACTTTCTGAAACATAGGATTATTAAATGGCAAAATCCTTTGAGTTGTGTAGTATCAGTCAAGTTAATTTGTAACTCTGTTCTCTAATCTAGTTTTGCAAAGTACAGTAGAAGTTTGATAGTAACTTCACATGTGTTTATCTAAGGATAAATGAAAGATCTGTGCTTAATTGTACACTTGATTCTGTACTCTGGTGCAGCCTAACTGTTGCATATGTTGTTGTCCAGGAAAGTTTTGGCTGTTTCTTTCATGCAGAACACAAATAAATGCAGTCTTCAGAACTCTGAACTGTTTCAGAGGAACTAATATATTATCAACAATAGAGCTTTTTAGTTTACTTTTTGTTAAAACTGTGCTTTGTTTGTGTCACTTTTGTAGATGCCAAAGCTGTTGCTGATTATAAATACGTACATGGTATCTGCAGTGTAGTGCGTAATGAATTTTAAGCATGCCTTTACTTGTTGGGTAAAATTCAGGAAATTCAAGACTTTAATGGTAGTGTCAATTTAACAGTGAAGTAAAAAATGTTATGTATTAGTCTTAAAATGGTGAATGAACACATTGTATTGTTAAAATACCCACAAATGGCAATAGTTTGGCCTTAAGCTTCAGTTTCTGATGGAAGCGTATGTCTGGGTCTGGCAAGTGAGAGTTCAGCGTTGTCAGTGTAACTGATAGTTTGAGCTGTGTTTAAAGTACAGAGGATATCTTTGCTGCCTAAAAGCTATCCAGGTAAAGATCTGTCCTTTCATTCTGCTATTCTTTCCTCTCATACAGCCTTAGTGTTGCATGGGTTGTTATCTAGTGCAACTTTGGCCTTTATTTTCATAAAATACTGGGTCAGCCTGGAATTTACAGCTGGTGCTTTTTGCCACCTTCAGCAAAAAAGGCCTGGTAGCCCAAGGTCTTAAGTGAACTGGCATTAACAGATTTTGGTTAGTTACTTCATTACCAATGTCTAGTTTGTAGTATGGATGAGTTTTATCTAACTAGATGCAATGATATTTATTTCCTGTTTCTCCTATTTCTCATGTAAACATAGTACTCCTAATAACCCCACCACCACCACCTAAAACACCCACTCACCACCTCCAACCCCAAGAACTTAGTAAAGTTTTCGAAATATTTTGAGAACTGTTTTTCTGAGCTTGGAATGTCACTATCAATCTTTTGCTATTGCAAAATAACAGAATTCTCATTTTCAGTTTTGAAAAACCTGCAAGTTAAATCTTAAATCATAACTTTCTGGTTTTGCATGGAAAAAGTGCTTTGGATTATATTGACTACTTTGTAGCTAAAGTGGAAGTAAGTATTCCTCATTATCAGATTTGTGATGTCAGCTGCGTGCTCTGCTGCCATAAATGAGTTTTCATTTTAGAAATGCCATGTGTTTCTGGCTAGCTTTGTGTGGTCCATGGAGAAACAAACATTTCTAATAGGCTGTCTTTTTTAAATTACTACTTTTAAATAAGATCTCTACATTGGAGTGCTACTGATGTTGGATTAGGATTTTTGCTGAGCAGTGGGAAGTGAGTAAGAAAAGAAGCAATATCTGGTTTCTGTTTATGAAATTTATAGATAATGATCTCTGCATAAATAAAATTGTAAATTGAGTAATTTGTTGTAGTCTCCCAAATGAACCAAGAAAGAAGTCTCATAACAGTTCTGAGAGTGAAGAAGATTTTTGTTTAGCCCAGCCACATGTGAGGAGCCACATAAATAAAGTATATAAGCAGATTCAGAATGTATTTGAAATCAAATTGTCATCTCCTTGTTTCTTAGGTTACCTTAATCTGACAAGTCTCTTGATATACTTCAACAACACTCTTGAATGCTTTGCTGCTGAAATGTAGAGATACCAGGGTTCTTGAACTACTAGGGAAGGCCAAGAAACTTGTTTAGCATTTTCTGTTCTTCAACAATACTCAGTTCTGCAAAACTTTACTGCTGGTGGATGATGAGAAGAATGCTATCTGACCATAGCCTGGCTTTGGGAGGGAACAGGTTTTATCTCGCCGTACAAGTGCTTGGGAAAGTAGTATCGTTGTTAACATCTGGAAAGTGCTTTCTCAAGAACTGTGTTAAAACAGTTCTTTTGTAGGAAAAAACAGAACAAAATGCCAAAGTATAATTTGCAGCATGCCAAGCTACATGTACAGGAGAGGCACTCCAAGCATCAGCTAACTGAGCCATTTCTTTCTGAGTAAAAAGCAAGCCTACATGATTAGTTGAACATAACTGCCTTCTGTTTAGATAGCTGAAATTAGGTTAAAAGAAGCCCACACCACTTGCTGGGGTATCAACTGTAATTTCTAATCTTAGATTCCAGTGTTTAGTTGTGGATGGAATATTAAAAATATGAATGATACTTTTAAAATTAAAAAGTCTTAAGATTAAATAATGTTGTCTCTGTATGAAAATGGCTCACTTTGTGTCCCTAGCTATCACAGGTTTTGTGGCCAGTGATGCTTGTAAAATAGTGTCTGAATGACAGAAAAAAGTGGTGTTAGGTGCTATACAGTCTATTTCATTACAAAGTCTTTTTTTGCTGTGGTGTATCCAAAGGAGTCTGTACAGGCATAGTGCAATTACAAGTGAGATATTAGCTCTTATTCTGCTCCAGAAATTAACACTGAGGGGAGGAGTGTTGAGCTGTTCTTTGAGCTGGCAAATATCTGCTGTTTGTCAGTTATATAGAGGTAAATGATCCAATGGGTTTCTCTCTTTGTCAAGCCTAGCATTTCGGTTCTAACTCAGATTTGTACTCTGATTCATGCTAAAATTCTTTGAAGAAATTTAGCCCCTCAGTTAAGCTTTAGCTCTTGTTACTTCGGCAGGAAGGATTATAGCTGCTCTTCATGCCATCGTCACAGGTCATAGCCGTATCTGGAGCTTTGTCCAGCTTGCCTGCCTAGCCAAGCATGTCTGAGAGTCTGGGCGTTCCTGTTGAGATCCTATGAGCATGGTGTATGTGCCTCTACCAACTTGCATTTAATCAGCTCAGATATATGCCTGCAAGAGCAAAGTGGTGTAAGCTTGTTATCAAAGTTCAGCCCTCTTGGGAATATTTTTTTTTTATATATTTTAGGCCTTACTGTAGTTTAATTAGCATTACTCTATTTTTCATTTCTCTTGTTATCTGTGCTGGCTAGAATAAAGCTAGTCAGACCATGTCTGCCTGTGCCCTCAGCATGCCTTAACTTGTCGGGTAGATAGAACCTCCATGAGAACTAGGTGAGCGTCTCTGAGTTAGTCATGTCCAAATGGAAAGATCTGAAGTTGTTTTCAGATGTACTACTTTCCCCTTAGTTAACTGAACATGATGAAGTAGGGGAGGGGTGGGTTTTGTTAAGGGAGTTCAGAAACTGACAATAGAGGAGAATAAAACCTCAGCAGGTCAAGTCATGCAACTGCTCCTGCCACCTTCTCACAGGGATGATTATTCTTTTAGTAGTCTGGCTGAGTGGACTTTACCACTGTGAAGCTTCCTGGTCTTTCTTTACGGTAGTCTCACTGTGCCTAATTGTTCAGCTTTCATTTATCCTTGCTAATCCGTCTTTCTTGTAGTTACTTTCATACATGTGTTTTGTCTGTAATTCTCTCTAAATTCTGGTTTTGATCCCTCAGTCACTAAAGAAAACACAATGGCTTGCACAGAAGACTTGCACTTGGCCTGCTCAAGCAGTGAAACTGTCTCTCTCTGGCCTGATTCTCTTCCAGAAGGAAAGCAGTAATGTGAACACTGTCCTCTGTGTTCTTTTTATATATATATACATAAAGACAGCATAAACCTTTTCAAGAATAATAAAATAAAACCAGTCAGTAGAATATCTGCTACATTTTTGCCACAGTGCTTTTCCTTGGCAATGAGATAGAAGTTAGGCAAAAGTTTGGACATCCATTTATTGCTTTTATTTTGTCTCCTAGGCTTGTGTGTTTGCATGTATGGGAATATGCACATTTAGGGGTTTTTAGGTTTTGTTCCGTGGACCATCTTTGATGTTTTATGGAACTCGTGTGATCCACACGATGACGAACCTTTTTCTACAGACCTGTGTCTGTAGAGAGTAGGGGAGCTCTAAAAAGTTCAGGGAACTATGGTGGAGATGTCGAGGTAAGCTGTGTAATTGTAGGGGGGGCTGCAAATAGAATTATTTGGTTTGCACAAGAACTGGTAGCATTAAGAAATAAAAGGCCTTGAAAGATAACAAAAGACTGAGAAGCAATGAAACAAGTGAAGAGAAAACATTAACCTACTTGGAATATAGCTTGCCTGCCTCAAAAAATAAAATTAGTTAGGGACTAAGGCAAATAAATTATTCTCTGTTGCAGAGTATATAGGTCCCTCTTTAAGAAATGTTCCTTGCAAAACAATCTTGCATGATGAAAACTAACACCACATAGCTACTGTCCAAGACTAAAGACTTGATAATTAAGAATGCGGAAAACTGCATGCATGTCACAAGATGGTGCTTGCCCAGGAGACTTCATGCTTCAGAACGTAAACTGTCCTCGTGTGAAGCTGGGGCAAGAATTCCAGGGAGTAGCTTTCCGAGGTCACCTCCGCTCTCTTCCAAAACTGATGGAGATAACAAGCTCTTCCCATGCAAGTAAGTCTCTTTGAAGCTGCTGGTATTGCTCACTGGCAGATGGAATATACTAGACACATTTTTTTATTTGCAGTACTTATACTGTGCTGCAGTCCTTTCTGTTCTGTTTTGTACATTGGTGATTCTTGTTGAGGAAATGGTCATCTGCTATAGGCTTTACTCACGCAAATGGAAATGGAATATGGAAAGAGAGGAAATGAGATGAACACTTTGTGATTTAGGACATGCCACCAACATGCAGCTGTGGTGAAGGTGATTTTGGCTATCGTTTAAATAGCTGTATTTAACTTCGCCATGTAGTATTCTTTTTGAACTGGCACACATCTCTGCAGCACCCAGTTCTACATATTGATGAAGTTAAAATAGGATGTCATTGTAAAGAACTTGAATATCAACTCGCACTCCTTTGCTTCCTGTTGAAAGTGTTCAGTGCTTGAGAGAGGGTTTAATGTGGTACTTCACTGGGTCAGTAGAATCATGCAGTTTGAAAGTTCATTTTTTTATTTTTGCATTGTCTGCAGTAATTCGTAATCTGTATACACTTTCAGGATAACAGAGCTAGTGCTGTGAATGTGGTAAAACACCAGCTGTATTTCTCTATCATCTGAACTTTTCCATTGAGAGAAAAATGGGCCCTAGCAATTGCAAAAACAATACTCCATTTCCAATCTGTTGTTCTACTGATTTTTTTTTTTATTGCGGTTTGCTTTGTTTGGGCTTCCTGTGTGCAGGAAGATGCGTAAAGCAAGCACACCAAAGAGTCAAATTCGGAGGGAAAGTCTCCTGGGAAGGAATTGGGTGATGCTTGAAAATGCAAACGGACAATGAGAGAGGAGCTGGAAGCTCTTTTTGAGAGCAAGTGAGCTTCTGAAGAGACCAATTGTGAAAAATTTGCTGGAGGTAAAACGAATATGCATCTGAAAAATAATGCCAGCTAACTTGAAGATTCACTGGTCTTTGTCAGGCTCAGAGAGGTGATATGAAGTAATCTTTCTTAACTAAGGATAGATTATACTGATGATGGTAATGAGAGGCTTAGCATTTTGAAAGAGCATAACAATTGTCATCTTCTATAAAAATCTGAGTTGAATATAAGAGTTATCTTGACAACAGTGTGGTTTTATACATAAAAAGGGTGAGAGTTTCTGTAAGCATTCCAGATAAAGGAATTTCCATATTTTTTTGAGTCAGTGGTAAGCTGCATCTGTAAGATAAGGTTCCTGATGGAAGAACACAGAAAACTAAACCAGCAAAGAATTGATTTAAAAATCACTCAGTGTTTGGTTAAAAAAAAAAAACCAAAAAAACCCAAAACAAAACAGTTTGATTTTTGGAACAATCAGTTACCAGAGCTAGTATATAGGAAATCAGAAAACAAAACATTAAGTTACTCATGACCTTGCTGCATTCAGTAAGTGTAATGATGAGAAGATACTGCACAGACCGGAGTCTTGAAGAATCAAGTAGACAGTAATTCTGTTGATGTTGTCAATATTGTTTGCACTTGTGTCCAATTTAATGAGTAAAACCTATACGGCAGATAACTCCATTTCCTCAGCAGAAACCGCAAGTGTACTTCAGCCACAACAGGACAAAATGGACTGCAGCACAGCTTACAATACATACTGCAACAAAATTGATCTTGTGTACTCCTTCTGCCAATATGGACATAACAAATACAGCAAGTATTTTTTGCAGACTTTTAGTAAATATTTACCTTTGTTGAAGTTGATAAGCATTTTATTTTGATGCTGTGTTGCTAAGCTTACTGATACTTTTCTAGTCATGCAAAAATTTCTATGATATACAGCAATGTGAACATCCCTTATGCATAGGTGGGGTCAGCAAATAAGCTGAGCCCACTTGAGCAAGGCAGTTGCTAATTAACGTTTTGGTATTCTTTGTCAGAGCTGCAAGAAAAGCAATAGGCACGTAAACACAGCAGACTGCTATCTACAAATATTTTTGGCCAGCTAAGTGTTTACTTCCAGAAGCTTAGAAGACCTCTGTTGTTTGTGAATATTGTTTTTCCAACAGTTTTGTTCAAAGCACCTGTGAGCAATTTCCAGCAAATTGTGCTTCTTTCCATGCATCCCTTCCCCTCAGTAAGAGTAATACGGAACTTTCTCATAATTTTTTGGCTTATAGCAATTACTTTTGTAGCAGTGCAGTATATGCTCATCACTATGCGTAGGAGAGGAATCTTCTATTTGCCTGTTAGGTTCATTTTATAAGTTGATTCAGATTTCAAAATGCAGAGGTACTTTCAATTATATTAAAATAATTTAGTGTAGCCCTGTTGAATTGATTACCTTAGTTGCTGAAAATATGCACCAAAAAATCCAGCTGTTTAATCTCTTGCTTTTTATGTATTCAGTGTATAATACTTCTTTAACTTGCAGTATTTTCATTTAAGATAATCAGTTTTTTCTTTCATTTTTGAATTCTTTAGTGATTACTTTTTTGTAAATAGAAAAAAAAAAGTATTCCTTGGATTGATCCTCTCTTAAGGAGATACTCTTGGAAATCTCTTTAGTTTGTATTGGCTGAAAGAGCAGGGAGTGAAGAGTTACAGGCAAAAGAAAGGAATTTTTGTTTGTCAAGCAGAATGTAGAGGTCCGAGAACTTCTGAATACTGGAATCAATTTAATCTTTTTGGGGTTTTTTTTGTTTGTTTTTTTTTCCCTCCAGAGCTCATTTTATGTTCTACTGATCTTCCATGTTATCTTTTTCTTAACATTGTATATTACATATATATTCACATTCGCTTTGCTTTTACTGTACCTGATGTTAGGTTTTAATTTAAAAGCATAAGAGGATTCTGAAGAATGCACAGTCTAAATGTTCAAAATAAAATAAGGGTAAAGGCATCATGAAGTGAGCACATTTGATGTCTAGGATTAGTGGGCATAGCAAAAAACCAAACAACAGCAACAAAAAAGGGAGTTTTGGTTGAATTGCTCAGTCTTACTAAGTCTACCTAATCTGTTTGGACATACTGCTCAAAAGTTGCTCTTAGCATTAGTGATGACTTCTAAGTGCACGAGAACTGTCTTTTCACTTGTCGCTGTTCTATATAAGAAATAGTTATAAAAGGGAACATTAAAGAATAAAGGCACAGATAGCGTTGTAGCTGTGACCCTACTTGTAAATTTTACTTTGAGGTGACTTTTTATTCTATTTTAATGAAAATGGAGGAGTAGAAATAGGAATAACTACCTTGAGAGTAACACCTCTGATATTGATAACATTGTATAACTTTAGATACTAAAAAGAAACAGTTTCAACTGACCAAGCTTATTCCCTGTGGTTTTTGGCAAGGTTACAAAGTCTGTCTTTCTGCTCTTACCAAAACCTACTTCTTTTTTTCTTTGCAGGTCATGGCAACCATAAAGAGAACAGTCCTTTCCTGAACAGTACAGAAGCTGGCAAGGGAGGCGATTACAATGACAGAAATCTGGCCTTGTTTGAGGTAATTTCTAACTGGTTTTCATACTTCTAATGTGATTTGTGATCTTCCAAGAGGAGCACATCATATTAAGCAGAAGACAAATCATTGCAAAGGTCCAAGCAGTTCATTGGTACCTAAGTCTCATTGCATGGCAAATCTAAGAGCCATTGGTGTGTTTTAGGTGCATGTCTACAAAGTAGCAAAGTATAATGGTACTGGAGGTGACCTGAATAATTTAAATAGTGAAGCTGTGGCACTGTGGGCTAATCAGTGCGGAAAATGAGCATGGGCTGATTTACTGTGTTAAAAAGGACCACGTTATTCTGTAGGAGAGTGCCTAAATTCAGGTACTCAATTAGCCTGGGTATCCTATATTACAACAGTAATACCGATTGCTCCCCCACATGCTTTTTTGTGGGCATATGTCTGTTGTCCAAGGTACCAGTAGGCAGAGATACCCTGTGTGATGAAAAAGCTCAGATATTATGACCACTTGGGTCTGTGAGGCAGAGGTATGACTGTTCCCATGTGGAAGTAAGGAAGACCAAGACCCTCATGTGGGAGGCCAGTTGGAGCCACACGAAGTCCAGCAGAATCCTCCTTCACATCCTCACCTCACTGGCACTGCACTGACTGCAAATATATCATGGTGTGCTAAGATCAAGTTTCGAAAAAATGTTTTCAGCATCTCAGGTGCTGGGGAGTGGTGCAGAGAGTCTTTGTGTGGCTCTGCAGCTGCTTTCCAACTGGGTGTCTGAATTACAGCTTCACAGCAATACTGGCAACACGTACCTGGTGTTTCCCATTCTAGGAACTCGGCGTGGGGCAGCCTGAGCTGGGTCTGCACCCCGCCAGGTTGGCGCCCGCAGTGTTCAGCTGCATGGCATAGAGCCTGGACGAGTATAACTAATCTGCTGCTAGATGGGAACTCACTGTGGAAATGCTACAACCATGTTTGCAGGCAGTGTGCTTTAGCTAAAAGACTTTAAAGCATGCTCCTAGCTGTGGTGTCTCCTCCCTCCAAGGCATGGTAAATATGTCATCAGCATAAACTCACTTGCAGATCATGAAGAGTTGGCCACTTGTGGTATGGCTGCTGCTAGTCACACAGCTGCCTTTTTCGTAAGCAATAACAGAGTACCACACCAGGGCTGCAGGCTCTTTCTGTTGTGCTAAAGTGGAGGAGGAACAGGTAGCATCCCAAAGGCGATGCTGCTCAGCTGAACAGGAAGCATGTGTTGCCTCAGCCTCTTCTTGGAAGGAATCGTTTTTAAAGATGTGAACTGCAGATGAGGTCAGATGGAAGGAATAAGAAAAGGGACATGTGGGGTCAGTTCCTGCCATCAGATACAAAGTGCATAATGCTGCTGATCCTCCCAGAAACTGTTTGTGATGATACGTGAAGATCTGATTAAATTCCAGACAGTGAAATCTTTCTTAATCGGTTTTTATTTCCTTTGTAGAAAGTTGTTTCTCTTTACCATGCATTACTTACTGTGCAATTAGACATGTAAGACGTTTTAATTTCAAAGAGAAAGGGGAAGTGAATGATTTTTGTTCTGATTTTTTTTTTCTTTTTCCCCCTTGAGCTTACTTTCAGAAACAGAACTTGAATGGGATGAATGTGAAGGTGTGAGGCCTCTGTACATGTGACTTTTGGGATTTCTATCTAGATCCACAGAAATTAGATTACATAGTTTGAAAAATGTAATAAAATTATCAGAGTGCGTGCATGCCTACAATGATTGGAGTTTAGTTGCTAAATCTCTGATTTAAAAAGGTCAAGTTGACAAATAAAAGTATATCTGTTGATGTAAGCTGACAGAGGTACATGCAAAGTACATGCCTACTTTCTTACAGTCCCAAGGCTCAGACTTCTTTTTCATTGCTGTAATTCATGTTTTTCAGCACTTACGGAGAAGGGTGCAGACCTGCTGGCATAGCCATTTCCTGACAGATTTCCCCTCCTTTCAGAAAATTAAATCCTCTCATCAGTGGTTCAGGCACAATGAAATATTCTGTCATTCTCTGTATGATTTTCCTGGTGTGTTCCCTGGCAGCCTCAGGCATGCCAAGGAAGGTGTGACCCCAGCCACTCTCCCTAAATGCTGTGAATTGCAGAAGCTGACTAGTTGTCTTCTTCCACAGGAAGAACTTGATATACGACCAAAAGTGTCATCTCTGCTTGGCAAGTTGGTCAACTACACAAATCTTACCCAAGGTGTTAAGGAACATGAAGAAGCAGAAAGTACTGATGGCTCCAAGAAGAAAGTATCAAAAGTAAGTAAAGATACTCTCCGTGGCCAGCTGATGAATGGGATTATTCCCTATGTGATTTTTGGGGAGCTGGACTCTTTTGTGCTTTATCTTAACCTCTGTCAGGAGCCATGACAGTGTTGCAAAGAAATAACACAGAACTCTGTAGGTAACCAGATGTTACCAAAGAATTGGGGCAGATGTAGTGGTTAAGCACTGTGCACCTCAGTGCACTTACATACACTTGGTATGGATTTAGATGAGGAGGATAGGCTTTTTAGTGGTGGATGGAATAAACACCAAAACCCCCAGCTTTTTCCTAGTGCTGTTTTAGCTGCCCTGCAGTATCTAACACATCTCTACGAGCCTGGTAGGTATGACACCAGACTTGCAGGAGACAACACCCTTCTAGAATGGTGGGTGGAGGTCAAATTGGACACCCTGGGGCAGCTCAAGTGTCATTCTGGTGTTAGGCACTTAGGCAACTGAATTCTGCCCCAAAGGAGCTGGGTTTAGATGGTTAGCCCATTTGGGCTGGCCTTGTAATAACTAGGTAGAAGGTGGGGTTTGATTGTTAGCAGTTAGATTTCTATCAGGAGGGCTGTGTTCTAACTGCTCTTCTTAGTGCTCTGGCAGTCAGGCAAGTGTTTTCAGTGCTAAACCTCAAGTGGTATCGTTGCATTTTATGGCACTTACAGGCCTGTCAGTTTGCTTGCAAATTTTGTCAAAGGAAAGTTTTCCAAAAACTAAGATAGCACTTGAATTCTACAGATTTTCTAGTACTGCCCTGTCAAAGTTTGAGCCATTTCAGAAAAAGATGGCAGTGATAATGTTGAAAAGCAGCACATTGTTCTCAAAGAGAATGCATGTTACCCTATGCTGCAGGCCAGATTCCAGCTCCCTTACTCATGCTCCCGTTCCTTACTCTGCAGGGTTTTACATGGGGGTTAACAAAGTTGTTTAGTCAACGTGAAGCTTAAAATTCAGTTTTATCTGAGACCACATGCAGTAAAGTGCTGTAATATTGTGGTTGATATGACAACATGACAAGACTGAGTGAAGGTCGTCTGGGTGCTGTAACTGTGTTCTGGTACTATAAGCTTAACGTCAAAAAAGTAATTTAAAAATGTTAACTGTGAACTAATTCTGTGTGGTACTTGGTGTTATGCTAATTGCTGAGTCTGTCCAAAGTTTTTACCTTTGCATTACTAATATGAAATGTCAGCTGCATCTCTGTTTTGGCATGCTTTTGATGGGAATAGTGTTGGGCATCAGCTGTTAATATGGTATTACTCATAATCTAAAATAATTTTCAGCCTCTTCCTATCAAAAGCAGATTGATTGTTACCCTAACAAAGATAGAATGGAGGGGGATACAATAGGCACATTATTATTTTGAGGAAGTGATCAGATCACTTTTGCTGTTTATTTCCTTATTAATTGTCTGACCAGAATACCAAGGTAAGATGCAGTCTGATCTGAAAGCTAGTCACGTCCTGTTGGAAAAAGAATTGGGAGAATTTGGTGATGGGTCTGTGGTACAAAGTTGGTTAAAGCAAATGCAGTATAGATTCATAAGGTAAAAAAGGAGCAAATAACAGGAAACTGAGAAGTTGTTTTAAATCCCTGGTAGAGTAACACATAAGCTTTGGTGTTCATACTTCTACATCTAAGTATGATTTATGTAAACACTTGCATATTTTCAAACTGTTCTCTGCCATAAAAAAAGGACTGTTGTCCTTATTAAAGCCGTGCTTCTGTGGTAAAATAGAATTTGGGCTTATGTTGTGGTTTAATCCTCTCCCCTACTGTGCCCCACCCCGTGGTATGGGGGAGAGAATTGGAAAAAAAGTAAAACCCGTTGGTTGAGGTAAAGACAGTTTAATAAAACAGCAGAGGAAAAGAATAACAACAACGATGATGATAATAATAATAATGGTAAGAGAATATACACAACAAGTGATGCACACTGCAGTTGCTGACCGCCTGCTGACCGATGCCCAGCCCTCCCCTGGGCAGTGATCGCTGCCCCCTGGCCAACTCACCCCAGCTTATATACTGGGCATGATCCTGTGTGGTCTGGAAGAGGCCTTTGGCCAGTGGGGTCAGCTGTCCTGGCTGTGGCCCCTCCCAGCTTCTTGTGCCCCTGGCAGAGCATGGGAAGCTGAAAAGTCCTTGCCTGGTGTAAGCACTGCTCAGCAACAACTAAACCATCAGGTTTTATCAATTTTCTTCTCATCACAGCACTATGCCAGCTACTGGGAAGAAAATTAATTCTATCCCGGCTGAAACCAGGACAGCTTAATACCCGAGTTGTCCTGAATTATGCTTTCCCATGTCCCAGAAATGTGTGTTTGCAGACTTCTCAGATGTTTTTTTATAGAATGGGTTGGATAACCATTCCAAAAGTGACAGTATCATCCTGTGTTAATACCTCAGTATTTTCTGTGTAAACACTGCAGTTTCCTTAAGTGAATCTTCGCCTAGCATGTCTGTCTCTGGGATAAATTACATCAGCTGCAATATCATAACTGTAGTTTGAATTTCTTTTTGCTCTCTTGCCATAAGCAATATGAAATTTTAAACATCTTGTAGAGTATAAGAAGGTTGAGTATTAACTTGGCCAATAATGATAACCATTAAAAACAAGAAATTCAAAAGCAATAACTGTAGAATGCTATGGATTGAAGGTATCCAGAAACTGCAAATGGGGTTCTTCTACACTTGTTTTTAATCATCTTTGAAGTATAAATCAATGCACTGCTATTACCTTATCCTTCCCATTTGAGCATTAGTACAGAACCATGAATATCCACCCCAGCATGACAGCAGGTTCTGTTTTTAAGTGCCAGCGTTGTTAACTGACTCGTTGCTGAATGCTATGCTGGGTGCACTCAGCAAATACCTACCCGGCCAGTGTGACAAAAGGTAAGCTGCCTGTTCTGATGTGTCACTTACTGGTATTGGCAACGTATAGACAAGAGCAAGGAGGGTGAGCAGACTCTAGATATGGTATTCAAAAATTGAATGAAGAAAGCAGTCCTTTCAGGAAGTGAGTATATAATTCTCTATCTGAGCAGGTGAGACAGGTCTCTTAGTGAATACCTTTGTGACCTAGCACCCCCCTGCCTGCTAAATCATATCCTTTCAAATAATAAGAAAAAAACCAGACCAAAAACAAACCACAAAAAACACAGACACACAAAAAAAGAGACAAGGCAGTTGTGTGCAGATGAAGGGGACAAATCTCCAAGGGGCAGTATTGAAAAAAAGAGGTCTCTCTTCCAAAGTTTCAGCTTAAAGAACAGGAGAGTGATGTGCTTTAGCTTGCAGAGATCCTTGTTCTCAGCACCTGCTTTCTACAGCGACAAGACCAAAAGAGACCTGAACATTTCCACAAGCTCTGGAAAACACATTACATGACTGTTCCCCTTCTAATCTTGGAATAATTGCTGCAGAGTTTGTGGAAAATGCAAATAAAGATCAGGACAATTTCAGTGCAAGGCTTACCCTGCTTCAGCATTCCCATTAAATATTTTTGATACTAGCATTCTGTGTTAGATACACATCAGATAAAATTGACATTACTCCATGTAGTAGGTTAGAAATTGGGCTGCTTTTTATCTTTTCTAAATAAAGCCTTGTATTAAAGCACTTAGTAGACGCTGTGCTATAAAAATGTCTCCTCATGACAGAAAAAATTAGATTAACTATTTTAGTTCATGTATCTTTAATAAGGCAGTTCATTTCTGTGCTGCTGTCTGTCCTCATGCTACAGAGCAACCACAAGAGCTGTCATTACCGATCAATGTCCCTGAGCCCTGCAGCCAAGTGCTTTGATAACCCATCATGCTGGCACAATGGAAATAGTGTCCTTCAGACTCAGATCAATATTTATCAATTATGTGTCTGCAGCTGGTTAGAGTGAACGGAAACATGATCTGCATCACTGAAATTGAGACTGTTTTTGAGATTTTTTCTGTCCCTTCTTGGTGGATCTAAACCAGCATTCTTCAAAATGTCTGTGGTTTATTTCCTTTATGCAGCATGGGGCGTTTCATTTTTTTTTCATTTGGTAGCTGTTGAGACTGAACATAATACCCTTCTTATTTCAGATTGCATTCTGTTGAGACTTCAGCACTGGTTTAGTATCACTTACTGATTATAAGATGCTATAGAAAAGGGTCAAGTGTTAACTATTGCTGTGAACAAGCTGGTTTAAGTAGTATTTGTGGATCATTCTTTCATACCAGTATTTTTTTATTCCACGGGGTAAGAAAATACAGAGTAAACTCTTGATGCCTGAGGTATGCTTAGTAATACTGTGGCTTGGGTTTTGTCTGCGGGCAGACGCTTATGCATTTCCTAGGCTGCTCTGCTCTGCAGTAGTCTCATAACTATACAATTAATGCCCAATTTCTCTTCCTCTGTGGCTGAAATGAGCTTGTAACTTGATATGTGTAAGAGGCCACTTTAAGAGGGAGGGGGAGAAGATGATGAACAGTAGAGCAAAGCTGCAGGGGCCACTGGGGGCAGAAGATGGGAAAGAGCTGAGCTGGGGTGAATTCTTATGCCAAGGAAGCAGGTGTTGGGAGATGTGCAAAGGGCAGGCTGAAAACTCACCTCCTTTGATACTGCTTGGAAAGCTGTCACATAGAACATATAACAACTGTGCTCCACTTGCTTCTCCCACGTAGGAGCAAGGGGTTGGGCTTCTTTCCATTTCTCAGGTGCCAGTTCTGACAAACTCTTAGAAACTCCTTCACCTCTGAGATACCCACACATCTGATAAACCCACTTGATGCTGGCTACTGGGTTCAGAGATGTAAGGGGGGTGACTGACGGATGAATGGCGAGATAGATGATAAAATTCTGTGGAATATCTCTTCAAGAGAGGCAAAGAGTACATTAATGTGACAATAGGAAGCCCTTATGCAGGGCAAAATCTGCCCGGTGCCTGGCAACATTATTCAGTCCTTTCTCAGTTAATGTTTGTGCAGTTGAAAGACACAGTGTGAATCAGATTAAGGTGTTTGAGTCAAAAGTATCTAAACCTCCCCTTCTTGAGGAAACAGGTACGCTGTAAAGAATACTCTGAGAAGGTCCTCGTCCACTGTAGCATTGGAACAACTCTTTTAAAAATCCTTACCTTACCCTGATCAGGTTACTTATGTACAAGTGTCATTTCTGTTAGTATTGGAAGGTGACAATTAGTTTTGTCTTTGTACATAATCTTGCCAAGCTGATCAGGTTAGTTCTATAGGATGGTAATTTTTGTACAAATGGCAGGTGACATTTTAGGGATATTTTTGTACTGTGGCACTGGAACAGCTGAGGAATAGCTCTCTGGCCCCGTGCTGGTAGGTCTCGTAGGGTAAGTCCATTGCAAGCCATCAGCACATGGTTCTGTTGCCCACTTTACTTCAGGAAGTTCATATGAGTTGAAGTGTGTATGGGGAAAGTCTGGTTGATCTGATTTAGCTTTAGTCACACAAGGAACTCAAAGCTGACTTCAATTCCTGGCATTTCTAACAAAGAACTGTTCAGATCATGTTCTTAGGCACAGTTTTCTTTCATCTTCAGTGGATTCCTAATGCAGATGTGGAAATTTCGAATTGTAACGTGTAACTGCAAGTTGAAGCACTAAATTCCTAGGTTGCTTATTTTGACCTGGTGATATTATAACCAGTTGATTTTTCTAGGATTTTGCTTTGTGTAATAAAATCTACTCTTGACTTACCATAGGTAACTAAATTTTTCCATAATGAAGACAAGGCAGTAACAAAGTTTTTGACAGCCATTTTATTGCTTTAAGAGTAACGTGCTTGTCTTAAGTACCGTTGCTTTTGATTCATGACTAATTTGTCTATAAGGGTGCATGTTACCTATTTATATTTGCATTTAGTTAATGCTATGTGGAGTCAAATTGGACAAGTGGTGTCACCTCCCTTTAATATCCTTCTTATTTAGATGATTGTTCATGGGTTTATTTAAATGCTGTCTCTCTGTAATATGTTGTGGAATTCAGGTTTATTTATAGAAAGAATTATAAAAGGGATGAGCCTTTGAGAAGTTACACTGTCTATTCCCCCTGTCTTTGAGGATTCTGTATAACTTTAAATGCAAAAGAAAACCTCAGAAAGCAGAAGCAATGACATGTCTTGGCAGGAAACCACAGAGATTTGGGACTCTCTAGAATTGCTGCTAGTCCCAGGTGTGCCAATGCAGGGAACACTTCCGTATTCCTTGAAATAAAACCCTTATCAGTGGCATTTTGATACCATTGTTTTGGATCTGACTGTCCTCTGACAATAACTATGTGGGCAAAGGAGAACTCTACAAGATAATATGTTGAATGCCAGTCGTGTGCAGTTCCTGTGAAGTCACGTAACTAACTTGTATTTTCTCAGTCACTGTCAGAAGTAATTCAGAATCTGATGCTAACATTAAACATAAGAAAGGTAGGATCATTAGTTTTACATGGAATATATAAAATGGAAGAAAATACATTATGCATGTCTCCAGATTGCTTCCAAGTCTCTCCTAGTTGTAACATCACAAAAGCATGTTTTTCATGGAACTAATTTGGGGGGTAGGATGGGATCTATCTTACTCGGGGTCTGCAGCACTCAGCAGGTTGATCGTAGAAACTGTGGTTCTACAATAAAACAAATACACGTACGTTCTGTTGTTAGTAATTGGTATTAAATGCTGTGTGTACTTACTTCAAATATGAAGATGTGATAGGGTCAGCGTTTTTTGAGAAATTCGTGGGTTTGGTGTTAGGATTTTGCTTCATGTTTTGTGAAAGTCCAGCACAACAGTATTTGTGTGTGTCTACCTTATATTTTCCAGATTTCTACCATTTGAAAAACTGAAGTTGTAGAGTTTTTTGCTTATCTATGCTTTGAATAATTCAAGTTAATGAATGTCAATGAACTTTTTTTCAGTCACCCAGCATGGGCACCCTGATGGGGGTGTATTTACCATGCATGCAGAATATCTTCGGGGTTATTCTCTTCCTTCGGCTGACTTGGATGGTAGGAATGGCTGGAGTTCTTCAGTCCTTCCTGATCGTATTACTTTGCTGCTGTTGTGTAAGTATATAGGTAATGTAATGCATGTGATGCAACCTCTGTGAAACTACTGAGAAACTTGAGAGACTGCATTGTAGATGCATGTGTAAAGAAAAGCCAGATTTATGCTAGACACTTCTGCTGTGTTTGTATCCATGTGACTTTTTCTTTTTTTAAAATTTTTTTGCTAGTATTTCTAAACTGGCAAACTGTATCTATTTGTTCGGCAAGCAGCTGTTTTGTGTGCCTGTCCCAGACCGTGGCTGCTGGCTTTGCTGGACTAGCCTTTGCTGGAATTCCAGCTCTGCAGATGGAGGGACACCTGCATTCTTTTGTCTTGCTTTATCTGCAGACACCCATTATTTGACCTGATAAAGCAGTGGTCATCTCTCCAGCAAAAGTCTCAACAGCTTGATGATTAAATTCCTGCTACCCTTGTTTTCTTTCAGATAACGGCCCATCAAGGCAGAATAAATAGAAATACTGTATCCTATATGCAGCAGCAGCTTTGCGCTATCAAGAAATAAGTTATGTTTTAAAAAATGTTGTTGACTCAATTGCTTTCTTTTCCTTGTTTTCCCCAGACTATGCTGACAACCATATCAATGAGTGCTATTGCCACAAATGGTGTTGTTCCAGGTAAGTGTAGTTAGCAAACTTCTAGTTTGTGGTTGGTTTTTTTTGTTTGTTTGTTTGTTTTTTTTAAAAAGTTGCTATAAGCTGTTAACATGGTTTTATTTTTTTTTTTTTTTTTTTTTTTTTAAAAGTTGCTATAAGCTGTTAACATGGTTTGAGTCTAGAGAAATTTGCTTAAGCCAGGATACAAAGCCTGAATTCATATCTAGTATTTCTTCTTGGTATCCGTTACGCTAAAGATGAATTTATTTGGTTTTTAGTTACCCCTGTGGCAACAAAGAGATACTTCAATTGACAGCCCCCCCCCCCCCAAAAAAAAAGCAGATACAGTGTATGATTCTGTTGTATTCTTGTGAATATTTTACAATTTATAACAATAAATAAATGACAATATTACTCTCGTTTTCTTGTTTCATAGCTGGTGGCTCCTATTTCATGATATCTAGGTCATTAGGCCCAGAGTTTGGTGGAGCTGTAGGACTGTGCTTTTATTTGGGAACAACATTTGCAGGAGCAATGTATATCCTTGGTGCCATTGAGATTTTATTGGTGAGTAGTACCAGAGCAGTCCTGCTTTTAAGACAAATAGCATATAGAAGATACCACAGTATTCTTGCCCCGTATTTGTATACACATTTACAGGTAGAGACCAGAAGGACTCCAGTTTCTTGGTGTCCAATTCTGTACCACTTAGTGTTTCCCTTTGGAAGTGACATACTGTGTGGCCATCCAGAATGGAGGCTCTCCTGAAAACATAGGTGGTGGTATGACTTAATCAAAGGCACATGCTCATCATTGATAAAGTTGGCTCAGTTGTACTACTGAAATATCCCTTGACGTTTTCTATAAACTGAAGATTTCTGGTGAAGAGCATGTTGCAGATTGGAAAATTATTTACATTTCTAGCATAGGTACAAGATCACTGCAGTAATACAGGGTTCTGCTCCTGTGTTCCTTCAGCTTGCTTTCTTCTTGTTTCAGACATATATTGTGCCACAAGCAGCAATCTTTCATCCATCCGGTGCCCATGATGCATCCAGTGCTATGCTAAACAACATGAGGGTATATGGAACTGTATTCCTCATCCTGATGGCAGTGGTGGTCTTTGTAGGCGTGAAATATGTTAACAAATTTGCTTCCCTCTTCTTGGCCTGTGTAGTAATATCCATACTCTCCATTTATGCTGGAGCTATCAAGTCCATCTTTGATCCACCTGAATTTCCGTAAGTAATATTTCTGGGTGGGGATATAGCTTTGCCTACACGTCTAGAAGATGGGGTTCAATGGAAGTTACTTAAAACTTGTGCTTAATACATTGTCAAAGCTATCTTTTTTTGTGAATTACTTCAGATTTTTTTACCTGTATATAATGACAGCCATAGTTCTTCTACGTGCAGAGCTCATGGAATAGAAGCTTCTTAGGCTAAAATGAATTTATTATTACATTCTTCAACTGTGTTCAGTAGAATGAAGTCTCGTGGTGAGTATACGGATTGATGGAGGCTGACATTTCTCTGCTTCCAGACAATCCAGTATCTTAGTCTACAGCTGTTGAGTTAAATTTTAGCAAGACTTTTGCTGGGTTATTTATGGTAGTCAGTAGGAAGCAGTTTGGCAGGTCCATTTTCCTCAGGCCAGTTAGACATGATGTGCTGTCTTCGTGGTTGGAAACTGTGGTGGTGTGATGCAGCTGCTTGCTGAGAAATAGGGCATCTCTTAGGAACGTGGGAGGTGTGATGGTGGGGCCATGCTGGGGCTCCAGCGAAACTTTCCCTTGGTCTGAAAGCAGCTTAGTCTGCCATGGGAGTAGCCCTGCTCTGAACACAGCGCGCGCGCTCCTTGGCATATGGGCAGTTAAACGTGTAATGGTTTCTTAAACTCAGAGCTGGAGCAGCAATAACATGGGTGCATGTGTTTTACCAGAAAGGCAAACAGTAGTTCCCGATACTGCTGACAAGGGATGAATGGAATGGAAATAGTGGAGTGGAGTCTGCATAATTATTCACATCTTAAAATGTCGTGACCATAACTAAGAACTCGCAACCCTCAAGGGCTCCCTTTAAATATGTAGTGCCCAATGATTATAATGTTTTACAGCAGTAAAAATAAAACAACGTCTCTGTCTCCCCCTCATTATCTCCTGGATTGTTCTTGAATGTTCTTCCTATCTTTCTTCCTTGGGCTGCATTCCTTTTTCTTTTGCTGAAGTAACTGGGTATTGTATTGATTTTTAATTCTGGAAGGGAAGGCTTCTCTGAAGTTACACAAGCCTGAAAACCCTACAAAAATGGCCTTGTCTCTTCCATTTTCCTGGCTTTAGTGATTTATAAGACCTGTGAAACAATGAAACTTACTAAAATGGAAGAAACTTTTTTTTTTTTTTTTCCTGTGGGTGTCTTCTGGCACCAGGAAGAGAAGCTGAATGAGATTTCAGTGGCAGCAAGCTGTTACGTTCTATCATCACGTCTTGTGGAACCATCTTTGGAGAAGTGGATTAAAAATTTTCAGTGCTGGAATAAACTGTATGCGTGGTTACGTGAAACACAACAGGCACTACAGGATTTTAGCAATTATGCATAGTTGCTTCTGACAGGAAGAACCTTTGCTTATTGTGATTGAAATGTATGTTCCTAATTCTGAAGCTAAAACATCAGGGTCATTTGAGTGCTACTGTACTGAAACTGGGATAATGTGATTCCAAAGATCTTCAGCTATTCTCAATATCTAGTAATTTGAATGCTGGTGTTCTTCAGATCTCTTCCACTCCAGTAGTTCTGTTTAACTTGGGGGGGGAGGGGGGCAGGGAGTGTCCTAATCTTTTGCTTTCACTGTTTAAGGTAAATTTACCAAATTCAATAAATTACACTGATGTAGCTTTTTATACCTCTCCCAAAGTTGTTGAAAAAGTAGCTTTATACTTCTGACCCTTAAAGGAAACAGATACGCAGTCATTGTCCTGCTACTGCCATCTTTTTGAAGCTGATAAATGATGCAGCAGACTAGAGCCACTTGAAGTTTCCATGATATGAAAGAAGAATTATGGGGAAGGGCGGATTTCATTTTCCCGGTACCATACAATAACACTGTTTTTCATGTTTCCCTTCCAGGATTTGCATGTTAGGCAACAGGACTTTGTCAAGAGATCAGTTTGATGTTTGTGCCAAAACCATAGTTAAGGATAACATTACTGTGGCCTCTAAGCTTTGGGAGCTCTTCTGCCACAGTACAAACTTAACCACCGAGAACTGTGATGAGTATTTCCTAATGAACAATGTCTCTGAGATAGCAGGAATTCCAGGAGCTGCTAGTGGCATTTTAAAAGGTATGATAGAATATTTTTTTTTCCCCTTAAAGAGGAGGCATGCTGAGCAGTTGAAATGCGTTGAACTGTTCCCTGCTGGTTAAGAAAGAGGGACTGAAGAAATGTAATTACAATGAAGAAAATTATCTTCAATTAAGAAAACCAAGTCTTACAATCTTTAAAAAGAGTAGATGGCACTTTTGTCCTGATACAGTACTTGTCTGCTGTAAAATTGATTAAATTTGCCTTGTACATCTCATAATTTCAGCAGAAAGTCAGCTATAATGATGAGCTATGCTAACATGAGTAAGTTGTTGAAATTGTTCAGAACTCTGTGTAGCTATGACTCTCCATTTTAGATGGGTTAAGATTATGTCCTGAAAGATAAGAGTACGTGTGTAAAAATAAGTGTTATCTCCTTCTTTGACCACTCCTGAATGTAATATCGTTGAAAAGCATTCATTATTGAAGTGAACTCCAGAGAACAGTTGCTTTGTGCAGGTACTGAGTGCTGAAGGTTCCTGTTTCACAGAAAGCAGTAGTCTAGTTTCTGAAATGGACTCAGCATTTATTAGTGAAATTTCAACTACCAACCATATAATTCTGTAATTCTTCCAGTGTCTAAAGAACAAATACATCTAGAAAGCTGGTCAATATTGCTGCTTTGGATTCTTTTGAGATCCTTTGTGTGGGTATGGTGGTTTATTAACAATACTCTGTATTTATTGGGGTTAAAATAGGTGTGAAGTTAAAAGAATGTTACATTTAGTATTACTAAAGGATAAAAAGTACTTAGACTTCTATAGGCTATTCATACATATTTATTGTGTTTGTTACAGATTCCCTTGAAAGCCTGCAATGTAAATTTTCTTTCATGTAACTTGTATATGCCTTAATTTGTGTTGATCACTGATGTGCATGAATTGCATTTGTAATCTTCAGTTGTAGACCCATTATAATGAGAACAGGTTTGAACTGAGATGTGCTTTTCTTTTCTGTGGTGTGATAACACTGAAGACAACTTATGGAGCAACTATTTGGAGAAAGGAGAGATACTGGAGAAAGCGCATCACCCGTCTGTTGATGTAGCAGGCCAGAAGAGCAACCTTCATCTGTATGTGCTTTCAGATATAGCTACTTCATTCATGGTGCTGGTTGGCATCTTCTTCCCTTCAGTGACTGGTGAGAATACTGGGACAAGAGGGCATCTTGGGTCTCTGAGCTTTCTTTTCTCCCTTGATCTTACATCCAAAATATATTTTCAGGTATCATGGCTGGTTCAAACAGATCAGGGGACCTCAAAGATGCGCAGAAATCCATTCCTGTTGGAACAATTCTTGCTATTGTCACCACATCGCTAGTCTGTATCCTTTTAAAATTAGTCCTGGCACGTTGTAAGTGACTGGGATGAATGACTGTGTATCTGATTTGTGGAACTGCTTTCAGGTGACTACATTATCATTGTGAGTATGATTGGTCAGTGGACGAAAAACCCCAACAGTCCTCGAGCTGAAAGCATCAGAATTATTATCCTGTTGTTTCCTGGCCCCCTTTTTGTGTTGGGTTTTTTGTTTCATTCCTTTGCATTTCTGTTGCTTTTCTTTGCTATGTAGTGGTCTATAGCTTTTCAGACTGGTGGAATACAGGTATATATTTTTTTAGGATGCAGTGGACCATTAAGTGGAGAAGGGGGGGGGGAGGGGGAGGGAAAGGAAGAAGGCAGCTTTTAGTTTGAGTGACATTAAGGAGTATATGCTTTCTTGAACATCTTAGGGCAAGATAAACTAGAGTTAGGAATTAGACTGGATGTTTCCCAAGTGGGTTTTTTGGTAGTGGTGGGGAAAGGTTCACGTGTAGAGTCAGCCGCCAAGTAGTACCAATGAATTTATGTATTTGTTTTGAAGCCAGTGAAACAATACCAGATTACATCAGCATAGAGGGCTGTATTTTTTTCTTTTTGCCCTTTGATTTTTAACACAGTCATTTGGTTTAATGCTATTCCGTGATTCTTAGACAGATCCCCAGCTGGCATGCATGGAAGTGTTACAAACACTGGGCTCGGTAGTGAGCTCCACATAGCTGTGAGTGACTTGTCATCTCCTGCCTGTTTCCACTGAGGCTGGAGTACTTAATTTGCAGAGTATGAGGATGTTCCTCATACCAGATTTCTAGGTGCTGAGTGTGTGTTCCGAGGAACAGCCTTTGTCCCAGTTGAAGTTGCTGGGTTTTGTATGTGGTTAAACTCTTCAGGGCTTATGCCTGCAGGAGCTCTGCTTGACTGTCTTAATCTCTTCTCTCCTGCTAGAGAAGAAATGAAGCCAAGGTCTTTCAGCTTCAGCTACCTGTTGCTCACCTAAACTACAGTTTATCAACATAGGAGATTAAAAAAAAAAAAAAAGGAAAGGCAATTAATACGAGCAAGGACTTCCAAAAATTCTTTGTAAGAGCTTTCTGTATAAATCCTACCCAAAGGGCAGCTAGTGGAGATGGTGTCTCTCCTGGAAATTCTGCTGTTTTGAACCTGCCAAGCTGTAAATCAGGATCCCAGCTTGCTTGTCTCAGCTTCTTAGGAGTGCAGCCTCTTCCAATGTTACTTTGGGAACTGACCCTGTACCAAGAAGTCTGCATTTCCTATGAACATACGAAATATCAAAGCAGGTCGCAGACGTAACCCCCAGCTCTAATGTTAAAATCTTTGCAGTTCAAAACTTACTTTGTGGTGGGTAACTTTATACCTAGATGTTAATACGCCACCCAGTGGAAAGTTTACATCATAATTTTTAGGAGTGATCAATGTTTCCCCTTTTATTACTCTTTGTATTTCACAATTGCATTTCAGAGGTAGAGGGTAGAGTTTAGGATTTAACCATTCCTGTACACTTTAAATCACAAGATCAAAAAGTTCACTGGAATGCCAGATCCAAAAAACCCAAGGTATTTGTACTCCCGCATGCAGTAGTAGTACAGTTTAATAAAACCCCCAATATTCCAAGACTTACTGGTGATGTGAATGCCATCAGAGACCACAAAATGAGAAAGTGCAAGGTAATGATTTGCTGTATGTTCAAAATAAATAACTTCAGAAGAAATTATAAGTAAACATCAATTTAATCTGCTAGTGTAGAACAGAAACTGATATTAAAATATCTTTCTTTTCTCATTCTTTGTCTGAACATACCTCCTTTATCATAACATTTAAAACTATCTTTTTAAAAAATTGAGACTTAAAATAGTAACTTTGTCACTTTAATATTAGAAGGTACGTATGAGCAGCGAGACATTAATTTACTCACCAGCTTTACCGTGTGCTTATGGAGCTGCTGCAGTGCAAATGCTGTGAGACAGAGGCACATGTTGAACTTTCCACAGTAGTTTCTATGGTTGTTTTCATCTGCCATGTCTAACTAAGTCCTGCTTCCTTAGCATACTCTGTACTCAAGACTTCAGTTGTGTATTGTTATTTGGAGCCTGCATCGAAGGTGTAGTCCTGAGAGATAAGTAAGTTTTACTGCTTTAATGCTCCCCTTTTTCTTTTTTGCAGGGATGGGTGTTCTTTCCCATCTTCTCTCCTCCCCTCCTTCCCTCCCCCCCCTTTTTTTGGCTTTTCCTTCTGGGTGCCTTTTAAACCATGTTTGTATGTCAATTGTAAACAACATTTTAGGAGTCTTCTTGTAGCTGATTTGATACTGATTTCCCATCCTATGTCTTAATTCCTCCCCTGCCCCAAACCTATTTTGTCTTGAGTTGGGGTACTCCTTCAGAGATCTGATCCTAACAGTAAACTATAAATTTCCATTTTTTCTTTCTCTTTCCTAGGGAAGCAAGATACGAAACAACAAAAATTCTATTCCCCCCCTTCCTTTTTTCCTTCTCCAGATGAACCTTAATTTTTTTGCCTTGTTTGTTGTCCTCTTTTTGTTAATTGCTGAGTTTGGCAAAATTACTCTTTGCAAACTGTTTTTTGGCTTCACTGCCATCTGAGGTACTATACTGATTTTTGTAAAAGCACTGGTGATGTCAACGGTGTATGCCAAATAGCTGAAGTGATTTCAGCCTACAGTATATTAGAAAGTAGCTTATAAAGTTGCTCTAATGTTTCTTGTGCTTACTCCCCGAAGTCAAGAACCCAGTATAATTCCCTAACCTATGCCAAAGAAAAACCTTAAAGGACAGGCAGATAGCACACTTCTGTATCTGTATATGTTGTATTGCTCATAGTGGTATTCATAGGAAGAAGTATTTCTTCATAGCATTTGTGATGATTTTCTTGCGTAGAAACCAACTTAAGAAATGCAACCAGACATCCGCAACTGGACAAAGTTTGGTATTTGGTTATCTCTGCCCTGGGATTGTTAGCTGTCAAACATTTCTGTCTGTAAACCCAGTAACAGTGTTCCCAGTACGAGAGTCTACAATTGCTTTTTCTGATAGCTTCCCTCATGTTGATGGACAAGCAATGAAGTGCTTATGAATATAATTCAGAAAAAAACCCACAAACAAAAAAACCCCAAAGTCTTCTGTAGGGGATGTATGATACTGGACTTTGTTGGGTGTTTTAAACTTTAAACTTACTATTTTGTTAAGAATTGCATCTTTCTAGGTGAAAGTGGAAAATGATGTTGTGATAATAATGTAAGAGTTTTATGATACAAAATCAAAAGGAAGTGTTTGAACTGTTGAAATGTTGAAATCGGGCTGCAGATTCATCCTACCTGTGTTCAGAAGTAACTCAGATTGTTTACTATATTTCTATATTTTCTAGTCAAGAAAATATGTAATATTTAATAATATATAAATGACATCTTAAAACTGACCCAAAAAACCAAATGTGAGTGTCAAAATACTCCTTTGAATACAAACATCTCACCGTTCCTCCCTGCAGGTACGGCGATGCAGTGAACAAGAACTTAGTGGTGGGCACCCTTTCGTGGCCCTCGCCATGGGTCATTGTGATAGGATCCTTCTTCTCTACCTGTGGAGCGGGTTTGCAGAGCCTTACTGGAGCCCCCCGGCTGTTGCAGGCGATAGCAAAGGACAACATCATTCCTTTCCTCTGGGTTCGTACATCTTAAAGAAAAAAGGTGGGGGGGAAGGGGAGGGGTGGGAAGAAAAAAAGAAAAAGCATTCTGTACGTAGTAACTAGCCAGCTATTTGACTTTGGGCTCTTGGACATCAGATTTATTTTCCCTAGTTTGCTCAGCATTGAAGTGAACGTCAATACTTTTTATTTTAATGCTTTGGGGTTTTTTTATTTAAAAACTAGGAATAATTTGAAAGGAGTTTGAATATATGGTAACTTTATGAGAAGTCTAACATCTAATTCAGTGAAGCACAGAAAGTCATTAGAATAATTTGACTCCTTGCTCTAGAGAAAGAAGTATGTGGGAAAATTACTATTGCTTTTTAAAATGTAATTTTTTTTTTTCATTGTAACCTTATAAATCCTTGGAAGACATGCTTAATGTTTCTGTTTCTTCAGATTTTTGGTCATGGAAAAGCGAATGGTGAACCGACATGGGCTCTTCTGCTAACAGCATTAATTGCTGAGCTAGGGATCCTTATTGCTTCGCTTGACATGGTGGCCCCAATTCTCTCTTTTTAGTTTTGCCAATTTGATTGTCTTTCAGAATCATACATTAAACCAGTAAAAGAAATTACTGGAGCTTGGGTTCCACTTGTATTGTTTCTATGAATTCTCTGACTTCAGGCCCTACATGTAAATCTGCTCTGTAGTATTCTGTGAATACACAAGTTTTTAGTATAGCTGGACTGTTATTTTTTTGGGGCAATGTTATTTTTATCAAGAACAAAGATAGCATTGATGTCATGGATAGACATAACTTGAAACAATTAAAAAACTGCTGTAACTACTTTATACTGATAGTTCAGGCTAATAAAAATCAGAGGGATAGTCACATGTGACAGGGTAGCCGTCTTTTGACTAAATCATTCATGTGATTATAATATGTGCCAGAATCTATAAATGCCTGTGCTAAAAGGTTTTGCACCTTTTTCTTCTTGCTTCTGCAGGTTTTTCTTGATGTGTTACCTCTTTGTTAATCTAGCATGTGCGGTACAAACGCTTCTTAGAACTCCAAACTGGCGGCCCAGATTTAAATACTATCACTGGTAAGCAAAAGGCCAGCACGTTCAACGCCTGCTCCATAAACTACAGCATGGGTTTTAGAAGAACTCTATCCACGAGGGTTCTGGGCATCTTTTATTTTTCTGGGTATCAGCTCCAGACAAGAGTACATCAATGTAATATTCATAGTGGGCAGACCCAGGAATTCAATGGCATGAGAGCGTCACTCCAACAACAGGATACTAAAACTGTTGGGGACTGGGGAGATTCCTTGCAAGCTTTACTTTCACTGCCAGTTCAGAACAGATAATTTAAAGAAAAAAAAGAGCAAGAGAACAGTTGACTTGTTTTTAATCTTTTCAACCTATTACTCACTGCTATCTTTGCTTTTTGTTTCAGGGCCCTCTCATTTCTAGGCATGAGTATTTGCCTGGCACTGATGTTCATTTCCTCTTGGTATTATGCTTTGGTAGCTATGCTTATTGCAGGCATGATTTACAAGTACATCGAATACCAAGGGTAAGTATTAACTGGATTGAAAAGAGCAGGAAAGAGATTGGGTCTATTTTTTATGAATTATCTCTGGCCTTCACATTTGGTGAAGGAACTCTCCAGAGATATGACATAGAGGACTTCCCTTATTAGTTCAGTTTTTATGTTTTACTGTGTCAGAGTTAAACAGAAGCCCTTGAAGTGCTTTGTGGTTAAGCCTCTAAAGGTGTTTGGTGAAACCTGAGAGTCACAGGAAGCAGAGACCTGGGTTGGGATCTACCCTTCTACTCTCTGGCACACGTAATTACTTCAGGTGCTCAGGGCCTGAAGGCAGCCACCTTATTCCACTTTATCTGTTGCAAAGGTCTGTCTGGAACAGTCCTTGAAAAGCTGAATCTGCAGGTTAGGTTGCCTGAGACTGCTACTATCTGATGGAGTCAGGCTGTAGTATGGCTGTATAGCTTAATTTTAACAAATCAGGTGTTGAAATGCCTGTTTATGCTTGGGAAGCATTCTCTGTAGTGGTGTGTTGTTTACAAATGAAATGCAGAATGTGTTGTGGTATACATTTGACTGAAACATTTGCATTTCTGATATGTGGTAAGTATCACAAATGTGCATGTACAAATGATAAATGTGCATGTGATGTATGCTACGTATCACATTACCTTATGATGAGTTTAATAATGAGGTCTCTGTAGCATGACTGTAAGTGTGCAATTATGCACTCATGAAACCATATGTTGGCTAAATTGTGTGTTCTTCACAGTGCAGAGAAGGAATGGGGTGATGGTATCCGGGGTCTGTCACTCAGCGCCGCAAGATACGCCTTACTCAGACTGGAGGAGGGCCCTCCACACACAAAGAACTGGAGGTACTCATTTTAGACTAATAAAATGCACTGTCATGACTATCACTTAAGGAATTAAACTGGACTGCAGACAAGATGCCTCATTTGTGAATTAATTTAATGCCCAGGATATTAAAGAAAAAAAATAATCAAGTAGTGTGTCTGAGGTAAGCTGCCCTGTCACTGCCCAAGCCCTCCTGTGTGGGCAGAACTTTTGCGTCCTCTGGATCTTTAATTGACCTCTGACTTGGTGAATTCAGAAGTGGAACTGGGGGAAACTGTGGAGATCTCAGAGTACAGAGGTCCAGCCAGAGGCCCGCTGTAATTTGTGCTGGGGACACAAAGAAGACACTGCTGTCATTCTAGCATTAAAAACTGTAACAGTGGCCAACGTTTTTTCCTCTGGCTTTGCGTGTTGAAGACAGATTAAGTGGGCAAGAACCCTTCTCTCAGTTATGCATTGCACAACTCTTAGGCTCTGAACAAAAGGACTAGGAATCTACTAAAGAATTCTTGAGAATTTTACACTTGCTCAACCACAGCTTAAGAGAGAAAATAACTGAATTGATGCATAGTGATACCATAAGGGACAGAAAGTAGGTGGCATCTGTGTTTAGATGAAAATATTCATGTTTCCCAACTGCTTGGCACAAGCATCCAGATCGATCTGGAAGGACAGCCTTGCAGTATGAACACACCGTGTGCTGTAATAGTACTTACAAGAGCCTTGAAAACCAACCACGTAAATAAAATACTAATGCAAGCCTCTTAAGCTAAGTACGTGGCTGTCAAAACAATGCAGCAGCAGAATCCACTCAATCCTTTAAATCTGCTTTGAATCAAGGGAAATAAAATATTAATTAAAACCCCTCTAACGTGTGAGATGCAGAAAGAATGTACCGTTTCAGAGTTAATATTCAAGCTCAATTAAAATTATGAGAGGGGCAGTTTTTTGGAATTGTTTTTGTTAAAACCCTAGTAAAAAATACGTTCCCCTTTTTATTTTCTCCAGGCCTCAGTTGCTGGTGCTTCTGAAACTTGATGAAGATTTGCATGTAAAATACCCTAGATTGTTGACTTTTGCATCTCAGCTGAAAGCTGGCAAAGGTTTGACTATCATAGGATCGGTGATCCAAGGGAATTTCTTGGAGACTTACGGAGAAGCCCAGGCTGCTGAACAGGTCAGTGTCTTAAACAGCTTCCTAAAGTAAAAAGGGGGTGGGTGGGCAGATAGCTTAAAAGTCTTGTGACCATAGATGGAAAAAAGCATTATCGGTAAGGCCTCCGTGAAATACAAGACTAGTTGAGCAGTGCTGCAGCTGTTCAGTAAAGGGCTTGCAAACACCTTCTGGCTGCCAGTGGTGGCTTTGGGAGCATCACGAGGCCAATGCTTGCACCTTGTGTAAACAACCTTGGTGCATAAAACTGTCTTCGTTTGTAAGAAAGAATTACTGTGGAAGTTTTTGTATGATGATTAATGAAGGGAAGAGGACTACTGAGTTTTTTGAACATACCAAGAAACATTTTGGTAACCGTCAATTATTACAAACTTAGCAAATGTGCTCTGCCTCTTTCAGTGTGGTGATCTATTACAAAAAGCATTGAAGGATGGTCCTGAAAATTCATTAATAAATCATTTTATCTTCCTCACTATGTAAACATGACATCGTAGCCCTGTTTACATCTGTGTAGTATCAGAACATTGCTGTTTTCTTCCCCAGAGGCTTTTCATACAGGAAAAGTGTTACAAAGGGAAAACTAATTCATAGGCCTATACGTTGACATAGTTTGTTTAGTTTTTAAACAAACAACAGCTATGGTATTCTTGATAGGTGGGTGGTGGTGGTGGTTAGTGTTTATATTTGTAAATTGAATGTAATAACACAACATAGAAATCTGAAACTGGAAATCCACGTGAAGTTAGTTAACCTTGGGTTTAAAAAGGTGAATGTTTTAGGATTAGAAAATGGAAAGTGAGATAGTAACACAGGTATCACTAACTACTACTATGAATAAGAGATTATAGCACAAACCAAAACACACTCATCTTAATCTGTTAGACATAGTTATGTTTGGAAGGGAACTAGGTATGTTTTAAACAAGTATTGTTCACAATTAGTGGGTATTTCTCTTCTGTTTTATTAAGGGAAGTGGATGAGCAGAACTCTGCTTTGAAATGTGTTTTACCTGTGGGCATGTGAACCAGGAATTTACATCACAATCATGTGATAGAGAAATACTTAAAAGTTCCTTTTGGTTGTGAGGTTTTTCCTTGTCTGTCTTCCAGACTATTAAAAATATGATGGACATTGAGAAGGTGAAAGGATTTTGTCAAGTAGTTGTAGCCAATAAAGTTCGAGAAGGAATTGCCCACTTGATCCAGTCCTGTGGACTAGGTGGCATGAAACATAACACTGTGGTTTTGGGATGGCCATATGGCTGGAGGCAAAGTGAAGATCCAAGGTCATGGAAGACATTTATAGGTGAGTTTTAAAGGTTCTGTGTGATCAACCGTTGTGAGCAGAGATGTTTATTACACATATGGTACACACAGGGGATGTTAACAGAATCCTTGTGAAATCAGTTTTGGGTTTTAGTCTGTTTTTTCTAGTATTGATTGTGATGTAGATAACTCCTCACAAAACTCCTCTATGTTTGAAATACCACTTCTTGTAGGTAAAAGACCTATGAAGGATCTTCAAAGATTAATCTAGCAGCTAAATTCATCTGTCTAATGAATGCTTAAAAAATTATGGACTTGAGAGATGGTGTTTGTATGGCAAACTATGATTTGTTTCCTAGATAAGTCTCTGCCTTTTCACTGTCCTAACCTATCCATGTCTCTTCACTATGGAGCTAACGCTCTCCTTGCCTACATCCCTCTCCTTCCCCTACAGTCCAGTTAAATGCAGTCAAATTAGAACCGAGCAGATGCTTTGTCCCCTTACTTAGCTTTGAAAATTGCTGCTTTTATTTCTGATATGAAATAGGGCTTGTGTTCCTGTAAGTCTGCTTTATCTTACCTTTGTCATTTAGTCCAACCTGTCTATACAAGCCTTGCTGTACATACTTTTCTTTATGTAAGAGATTACTTTTATCGTTTGCTGACATTTGCTCGGTGAGTAACTTTTTTTTTTTTTTTTTTAAAACCGTAGATCTCTGTAGCAGCATTTGGAGTAACGATCTGTTCTTCCCCTGTTGGGCAGGTACTGTTCGCTGCACAACTGCAGCCCATCTGGCACTGCTGGTTCCCAAAAATGTGTCTTTCTACCCCAGCAACCATGAGCGTTACAATGAAGGCAACATTGATGTGTGGTGGATTGTGCATGATGGAGGCATGTTGATGTTGCTTCCTTTTCTTCTCAAACAGCACAAAGTAAGGAGCCAGCCAGAGTGTTTGTCACCCAGCTACTTCTGTGTGCATTAGTTTAAAGAAACAAGGTCCAGTAGTGGAGCCTGTATTGATAAACAAGCGTGGATATATTGATAAGTTTCTGTTTTGTAGAGCAAAATATTATTGATTTGAATGCTGAGAGTTTGTGTTCCCTCACCAGGTCTGGAGAAAATGCAAGATGCGAATTTTTACTGTAGCTCAGATGGATGATAACAGCATCCAAATGAAGAAGGACTTGGCTACTTTCCTCTATCAACTCCGAATAGAGGCAGAGGTGGAAGTGGTAGAAATGGTAGGGGATTTGATTTGTCACTTTATGATGCAAATGGTGGTATTTGGTTATAACCTGGTTACAAGCACACCATTTTTTTCTTACTTCTGCAGCACAATAGTGATATCTCAGCATATACTTACGAGAGAACTCTTATGATGGAGCAGAGATCTCAGATGCTGAGGCAAATGAGGCTGACAAA